AGTGAAACGTCAAGAGCTTACTCACAACGAACGATCACACAACTCAGACAGGAAAAACTTCACACAGACTCTCTATTCTCTCTCTCACACTCTCTCGCTCAACTAACTATCCAGCACTCTCTCTCAACTAACCACCGGTAATGACAGGAGTATATATCATTCACGAGCGACAAACAATAAGCCCTACTCCCCCCCCCCCCCTCCAGGTAAGTCCTTCGCATACGAGCAAACACAAGCTAACAAAAGGAACAGACAAACTTCACCGCCTACAGCCTCCGGCCCTCCATATGGCCTTCCCGCTTTTCTTTCAGAGACTCCCATCCTAACTAATAACAGGCGGACCTCCGCCGCTCTCCGGAAAGCCTTTCTGCTTTCCTTACAGCCTTCCTTCCGTTTATTCCTTCAGTTCCTTCCTCCGTGCTCCACATTCCTTCCGGGGCGCCGTTTTCCTCCTTTTGCGCCGTTTTCCTCCTTGTGCGCTGCTTTCCTCCTGGCGAAACGCAAACCTCTGTGGGCTCCCCCGAAAAACAACCAAAGTACACCCAAAGCCGGAGTGCGCCTGAATCCAAGCGCGATCCCCGAAACTAACAAAGGAAAACTAACTAGCGTGCAAACAGGCAAACCACCAAGTGAACAGACGAACGAACGAGCAACAGGGAAGAAGGAAAGGGAAAGCGGGGGGGGTAGTAGGAAGGGAGAGCATGCCGCACAGTATTTCCAGCAAGTGCTACCGATAGAATTCATAGAGGATAAGAAAGAAGTTCAACTTTCCACTTATTCCAAAGCTACGAATTAAGTGTCCCCCCCTTGCCCCCCTAGTATCTAGGGAACAAAATCACAGGTTATATCCATCCAACTTGCTCCAACCCCTCAATAACTCCCTCAGTTCGCTTTGCACGCGGACCCAAAGGCATACCCGAGTTGGCCCGGGTTCTTGTTCATTGGGTTGAGTCCGGCCGGGTGGGGGCAACTTTGCTCATTTTCAACCCTGGCTAACGAATTGCGAGGCTCGTCTGGTGTTAATTCATGCCTGTCATCAAATCTGACCTGGATGGAACTTGGTACCGCGATGGGTGATGCCATGCGCAATCAAATTCTCGAGGCTAGTTTCACGCACTCATGTATTGCCATGATATCTATGGGGTGATAAATCCAGAAAAAATGTAAACAAAGAGCAGAAAAGTAAGACCACAATCAATCAATCCCCCGAGATCGAAGAAGACTCCCTTTCATACACAGCAGCCTCCTCCATGAACTCTCACCCGTGGCATTTATTCGGCTCCAAAAGGGAGACAAAGCGACGAAGAAATATAGAAGAAAGGGGAAAAGGGGAGCCCAGGTCCAATTCCCGTATACACCAAGACGGGACCAAACTAGCTAATAAACAAATTAGTAAACCAGCTTCACATGCACCCCCTCACCCAAACTTCTTTCACCCTTCTAGCCGCATCCAAAAGAATACCCCTCAAGTTACTACTTCTATCGGGGGAGTCTTTGGAGAAATCGATATCTTGGGGGTAAGTGTGGGTATATCCTCCAACCGTGCCTCACACAATCAGAGATGTAGGTAATTTTTATCTCCAAACCGGGGAATAATAATAATACAGATTGGGTCAAACTAAGATCAATTAGTGTAGAGGACCGTACAAGGGGATTCGGTATGCGGAGGCGACTTGTTTAAAGAGGAACGAGGGGTTGTGTTGGTGGTGCTGGAGTTGGTGCTGGATGGATAAGATGGAGATCTAGTAGATTTGGAGAGGTTGGATGAGCAGTGAGGGCCGCAGATCTGGGCTTGTATATTCGGGTGAACTCGCTGCGAGGGAATCTGAAATTTGGGAGGGAGTGGCGGGAGTGTTGGATGGAAGTCGGCAGCGAAGGGGTGGTTAGGATTCAGGAAATGAGTTGTTATTTGTCCTGGGCGATCAATAGAGCACAGTCGTGGGGCGATAGGCTGCGGGGAGTGCGGCGTGTGTAGGTAGCTGTAGTAAGGTGAGGTACTAGCAAGAGGGGCAGGGGGAGGGAAAAAATGAGGGATATAATAGGAGAGGGAAAGCGTCCAGAATTGGCGGCGGCTTTAGGGATAGAATATTCGAGTACTCGAACAAGCCCCGGCTAGCTGTGCTGCGTGGGTCATGCTGGCGGAATTATAGACTTTGATCTGCCCCGTGTGAGAGGAGAAGCTGCGCAATCGATTCATGACCAAATTTTTTAGCCGCCTTTAGTCCATTGCCATGACAGCCACCCTTCGCATTCACCTCTGCTCCACGCTCGAGGAGAAGCCGCACAACCGATTCGTTTCCATTGCGAGCAGCTGCTTGTAGTGCATTGCCATAAAGGCCACCCTGAGCATTCACCTCTGCCCCATGCTCGAGGTGAAGCCGCACAACCGATTTGTGTCCCCGAAATGCAGCTGCTTGTAGTGCATTGCCATAAAGGCCACCCTGAGTATTCACCTCTGCCCCACTCTCGAGGAGAAGCCGCGCCACTGATTCGTTTCCCTGAAATGCAGCTGCTTGTAGTGCATTACGATACAATCCACCCTGAGCATTCACCTCTGCCCATGCTCGAGGAGAAGCCGCACAACC